TCAAAATTGAGCACATTTTTTCAAATATTTTTTAGTCCAAAAGTGGGTAGAGAATCCTGCACACATGTCCTAATCTATCTAGTTGACAATATCAACTCACCAAAGAGGAAGATAAGAGTAAAATCTATCATACACTGGTACTCTAATCATGAAACTACTCCCTATAAAACACAACATATAAACCATCTAGCAATTCTAAGCATACTAAGTAGATAGTTGCAAGGGACAAGGTGTTTCGAACCCTCAAATTTGAAACAAATTGGGTATGGCATTCAAGATTTCAAAATACAATCAATTGATAGCATAGGCTCCCACAAGTAATCATCAACGTCTCACATTCATAAATAATGGAAGCTACTATGATTCATGGCACGTAAGGTTCAAGAAGTGTTACCATAGGTGTTTGTGTGTTAAGGAGGGTGCACAAGTGTAGCTTTTCATTGATCTAGAGGTTTGACATTTAAGCGCACACATAAGTGAGGAAGAATGTTTTATCCAAAAACAAAATATAAAAAGCTAATCTACCACAAACACATACTTTATTAAACATACTAAGTATTTTGAAAAGGAAAAGATATCAAAGGTAGAAATCGGCCCCTATATGCCAAGTTGTCTTTGATGTACGGTTGGAGCATATGATAGTTGCACTTCAGAGGCTCTTTTTTGGGAGGATGATCCATCATAGTTCATAATCGCCTCTGTTGGTTGCTTTGTTGTGGTTGCACCTCAATTTGAGGTCCTGGTTCTTCTCTTGTGACTCGTGGTTCTTCTCATTCGAGGGTGGTTTGGTTTCTCCGTTGTTAATGGCTAAGAGGTATAGATACCTCTTACTCTCGGTCGGATCATCCACAAAAGAGAAAAATTACAAAAACATGTCCAAACAAACCATTAGGCAATTCACTTGATCAATTAAACAACAAAACACATCCTTAGGTTCACTCTATACACCTAGAAGTGGTCTTCGGTTTGTCGGTTAACAGTATAACCTGTTATCGAATTGGTAACCAAAGGAAACTGGTACCATTAATCGACATTATTGGTATGCGGTAGCAAAAAGGGGCATTGGCTCAAACGTTTAGACTTTCTTTTGGCATATTCAATAGCCGACAAACTATATGGATTGGTAAGTTAAAAACAAAATGATTCATTTTGACTAAATGGATTGAAGGACTTAAATCAATCTAATATTGTTAATTTCAGAATAACACGTTAATGTGATGTGAAATGAGTTAGAGGGGAAGAACAAATAATCCAGTTGCACACCTAATAGCTCATATAGAATGTAAATAAAATGTTTAAGACTTATACAGAACCTATTTCTCTCTAACCATAAAAAAAAAAAAACCTATTTCTCTCACTTATTTTCAAAGTTATTGTGTGTATTATTAAGTATGAAGTAACAATGATTCACATAAATCATGACAAAAAAGACTAATAATGTTAACTTTTACGGGAGGTTAGTCTAATATTGTCATTTGGAAATAAGTAAATATTTAGAACAAGTGGGTTGTTGTTCAGTATAGAATAACTTGTGACATTCTTCAAAAAAAAATTTATATATTACCAAGGGGACTATCAGTTATGAAAAGTATTTATTTATGCCGTTCATAATCACACGACATAATTTGTTGAGAATTCACTTATCAAATTAAGTTTGTCTACCCAATGAGTCGAACCTTAAACTGGTTTATTACGGGACCTTTTGAAGGTCTGTACTTGGATTTTGTTAGTAAATTAGAGAAGTTGTGCGGTAAAGTAACAGGGGTGTTGAGAGCAGTTAGTGAATTAGAGAAGAGAACTATGATAAAAATATTAGGGGTAACTAGTTAAATAAAGACATAACTTAACCTGATCAGAAATGCCTCCGTAGCATAGTGGTATTGCGTTCGCTTCGTAAGCGAAAGGTCGTGAGTTCAATCCTCGCCGGGGGCTTTTATTTTGTTAGCTTTTTCCAAGCTCCGATTTATGGGCCTCGCAACACATCCTAGAGTCGGTGTGGACTACTTAGATTTATGGGCTTGTTTTGTTAAATTTTTCGAAGCTCTGATTTATGGGCCTCGCAACACATCCTAGAGTCGGTGTGGACTACTTAGATTTATGGGCCTCGCAAAACATCCTAGAGCCAATGTGGACTACTTAACTTTGCATGTTTCTTGGTCTAAAGCCCAAAAGTCATGCCACTGAGCTTTCGTTTTCGTTTGTGAGGCCGGATCCCATGACTAGGAGTGCTTAGTCACTTGACTAAGCACCTCCCAGCTGTTAGATTTAGACACATCAATCTTACTGTTTAAAAGTGGGAAGAACCTTTTAATAAATAACAGGGGTAGTTTGGGTATTATGAAAAATTAACTTTGGATGTCCCATGACTAAGGGTGCTTAGTCACTTGATTAAGCCCCTCCCAGCTCTTAGATTTAGACACACCAATCTGAAGGTTAAAAGGTGGGAAGAACCTTTTAATAAATAACAGGGGTAGTTTGGATATTATGAAAAATTACGAAGTATGCAAATAAGACTTACAAACAGTACAAACATACAAACATTACAAACTAAAACGACAAAACATACAAACATATTTACAAACAATACAAAACCTACGAACTATACAAATTACAAACAATACAAACTAGACCGACAAACAATACAAACGATACAAAATGAAGAAAAAACAACCGGGTTGACTTTGGAGGCTCCATCCTTATATAGAGGGTTCCGTCCCAAAGTCAACCCGGGTGTTTTTCCAGTTTGTATGGTTTGTCGGTCTAGTTTGTCATTTTTGTCCACAATATTTGTATGTCTAAAAATATTGTGGACAAAAATGACAAACTAGACCGACAAACCATACAAACTGGAAAAACACCCGGGTTGACTTTGGAGGCTCCATATCTATATAGAGGAGTTACATCCAAAAGTCAACCAGATTGTTTTTTATACATAAAAAATATTACAAACATGGGTGACAAAAACAACAAAGATGTGCACAAAAATAACAAAACTTACAAACATTACAAAAAATACCGACAAACATTACAAAATAACAAAACTTACAAACATTACAAAAGAAAAGGATAAATAATACAAAGCATACTAACCGTACAAAATGTCACTGAAAAGGACAAACAAGAATGATAAACAATACAAATCTAATCGATACAAACATTACAAACCAGACTTACAAACATTACAAAATAGGTCAACAAACATCACATATCAAGAATTGTCGCCGGAAAATTCTTCATCGTCGTTGCTGGTCGTCGGGAAAGTCTCCTCCGGTCGCCAAAAACTCTCTCTCTCTCGCAACCAAAATCCAACTCCCTGGTCGCGGGGAAGCCGGAAAATCCATGCACAGGGAAAACAGTTGCCGATAGCGACGGGATGCCGGAAATCCACAAGCAGAACCCTCGACCAGGAAGGGGTTTTTTTAATTATTTTATAATTAAAAATTAAAAAGGTCTTGCAATTATCACAATACCCTTCATTGAATGCGATCACTAAAATTGAAGGGTTAGCATTCACTTAATCATGTGACTAAGGAACTCCCAATTAGTCACCTGATCTTAGCCCTTTCGTTTGTCCAACGTAAAGGATTTAACTTTGAATGCTCCGGTAATTAGGAATCATCAATCAATCAAGACAACTAAGAATACATTTTTAAGCATTCAATTTTCATCATTACAATAATGGGGAACAGATCAGGTCAGTAACTTTATGGTGAGCAATCATGAGTAACCTGTCCACATCAGCATGACATCAGCATCCCTCTCTCCTGAAAAGCCTTTAATTTTCCCCTCCTAAATCTTTGACGAACGATTTCTCACTCGTTTTAAGTCGAAATTTAATTTTTTTACACAGTTAGATCAGATTAATTGTTCTCTTCAAAATGATATCCACTTTGATATATTTTTCGAACAATAAAATTGAGCCATTTTTTACCAGTCTATACCATATGGTATTGACTGGTATTTAGGGATGGCAACAAAATCCGAACCCACGGGTACCCACCCGACCCAACCCGGTCAACGCGGGTAAAATCCGTGTTGACGGGTTTTGGGCCGGGTTTGGGTTTAAACCCGTTCACTATTCATCGGGTTGGGTTTGGGTTTGGGTTTAGCCGACCCGTGGGTACCCGCCCACACCTTTATAATTAATTTTCTCGGTATATTTCATATTCTAAGCAACTAATCTTATTTATGTTTGTGGAGACATGTCTAATTTTTTCTTTCTAATTGTGTAGAATTAAGTTGATGTTATAGTTAATTTGTTATTTATGGATAATTTGTGATTTGCTTCAATTTTCTTGAGTTTTCTAAATTGGTGTTGAAAATTTTGTATAGTTAATTTGTGATTTTCTTGAATTTTCTAGAATGGTGTTTTATATATGGATAATTTGTATTGATAGATTGATATTTGACTTTAATTTTGATAGAAACTTATTATTGTAAATTTTTACGACAAAAACCCGTGGGTACACATGAACCCGCGAATACCCAGCGGGTTGGGTTGGGTTTGAGTTTTTCAAACCCAATAGGTTTTACCCCGGGTTTTTTTCATGGATAAACCCATGGGTTTGGGTTTGGGTTTGGCAAAACCCGACCCAACCCGACCCATTGCCATCCCTACTGGTATTGAAATAAAAGCATACATATGATTTGAAAAGCGTACCATGGTGGTATGAACAAACCAAGACTGTAGGATGGTTGAATACATGATAGTAGAAATATATTAACTGTCATTTACTACTTTTAACATTGTGTACCATAATATACCACCCCGTACCAGGGTGGTATTGTATGGTATTTTTTGGTCCTGTAATTTGTTCACCCAGAAATTTGTAGATCCAAAAGATCATGATGAACTCGTCCCTTCTGTACAAACGTTTTCAAAAACGAATTAAAAATGAAGAAAAAATTTTTGTTGGAATTGCCGGGGGGCTAAACACCCAAAATTTTTGTCGGTTTTCAAAGAGTATATGGCAACCCATAAACCTAACATTGTCTTTATCGTAGAGCCGCGAATCAGCGGTAAAGATGCGGAAGAGGTGATTAGATCAATGGGGTTTGATAAACACCTTCGGGTGGATGCTATTGGTTTTTCTGGAGGGATTTGGGTCTTGTGGAAGGGGGCTGTTTTTTCAATTATCGAGTTAGACCGCGACTCACAATTTCTTCATTTTACCTGTACAGGACCGAACAATGTCTCTGTTATCCTGACTGCAATCTATGCTAAGCCCAATGACCACGATCGTACCCCTCTCTGGGCGGCAATTCGGCGGCTTGAACAGAACATTACTCAACCATGGTTGCTTGCGGGTGATTTCAACTCTATCACTTGCCCATCCGAACGAAATGGTGGAGCGAAATTCAATCCCCATAAGACCCTCAACTTCAATGACTGCATCAGAGACTGCGCACTGGTGGACGTGGGGTTCAACGGGCCGAAATTTACTTGGAGCAACGGGAAGCTTTCTCAACCTCTAGACAGGGCTTTGTGTAACCAAGAGTGGATACGGCGGTTTCCGGACACCTTGGCCAATCACCTTCCTAAACTTCGTTCTGATCATAGACCTATCTTTATTCAAAGCAATAACAACCATGTTCCATCGCGCCAGGTGAGACCTTTCCGATTTCTCGTGCCATGGCTTACTCATAAAGACTTCTTGCCCACTCTTGAAGCTTCATGGCACCGAGGAAGGGACTGCCTTTTGTCTTTGCAGGAACTCCAAGGTCACCTCACTCGCTGGAACAAGGAGGTTTTCGGTAACATATTCTTGAGGAAGGCTAAACTGTCAGCTAAGCTTGCTCGCCTAGAAATCCAAAATGAGAATTCAGCAACGGAAGCCTCACTGCGGAGAGAAGGGCAGGCCCGTGAAGAGCTGGAACAGACGCTGTGGCAGGAAGAACTTCTGTGGCTCCAAAAAGCTAGAAACAACCATATTTTGAATGGTGACAGGAATACCCGGTACTTCCACACTGCTGCCCTCACCAGACGAAGGAAAAACAGAATCACTAAGCTACAAACAGCAGATGGGATATGGGTGGATGATCCGGATGAACTTAGATCCATGGCACGTGATTTCTATGTGGAACTGTTTACGGATGATTGTGGGGGACAGCAGCAAATTCCAGCCTGTTTCAATGCGCTTACAGAAACAATGACAGCTCACATGGCGGATATTCCAACTCTAGAGGAAACCCACAAAGTTATCAAGGAAATGGGAGGGCTGAAAGCACCAGGGAAGGATGGTTTTCATGCTGCTTTTTACCAAAAATGTTGGAATAATATAGGAGCAGATTTCTATGATCATTTGATTGCTTGTTTCAGGAACCCGGATCGGATTAGGCTGTGCAACGACACTCTTCTAGTGCTGCTTCCCAAGGTGGATCTTCCGAAGCAGATAGCTCAGTTTCGGCCCATCGGACTCTGCAATGTGAGCTATAAAGCTCTGGCAAAATGCCTAGCTAATAGACTCAAAGAGTTCATGCCGCAACTGGTTGATCAGAATCAGTCAAGCTTCGTTCCTAAGAGGCACATCACAGACAACATAATCATCCTTCAGGAAGTGGTGCACTCGCTATCCCTCAAAACCGGAGCTAAAGGAAGCATGATCTTGAAGATTGACCTCGCCAAAGCGTACGACAGGATAAATTGGAAATTCCTCGAGTCAACACTTATGGCGGCTGGGATCCCTGATGATTTTGTCAAACTGGTCATGGCTTGTGTGACTACTGCCCGTTTCCAGGTGTTGTGGAATGGCGGTTGCACGGAATCCTTTCAGCCGACGAGGGGACTTCGGCAGGGATGTCCTCTTTCCCCATATCTTTTTACTTTATGCATTGAGAGACTTAACCATTGCATTAAGGAGTCTATAGACAGGAAAGCTTGGAAATCAATTACTTTGTCTAAGGATGGACCACCGCTCACCCACTTATTTTTTGCAGATGACCTAGTACTCTTTGCAGAGGCGGATCAGAAGCAAGGGGAAGAAATTTTAGCCTGTCTTGATCGTTTCTGTGGGGCGTCCGGGGAACGGGTCAATAAGGATAAGTCTTGTGTCTTTTTCTCCAAGAACACCAAGGACCAAGTAAAGACTAGGATCAGTGACACGTTGGGAATCCAACAAACCAACAATCTTGGTCGATACTTGGGCGTCCCAGTGATTCACGGCAGAGTTACCAAGGACACATACAAATACATCTTGGAGAAGATTGATAAGCGTCTATCGGGTTGGAAAGCTAGAAGCCTCTCCTTGGCTGGACGTGTTACATTGGCTGTCTCAGTCCTGAACGCGCTCCCCAACTATGTAATGCAGACGGCGGTTCTTCCCATATCGGTGTGTGATACCATTGATAGAAAAGTCCGGGCTTTTGTCTGGGGAGCAGAGGAAGGTCGGGGCAAGGCTCACTTGGTCAAGTGGGAAACCATCTGCAAACCGAAGGAAGAAGGAGGTCTCGGGCTTCGTTCTGCTAGAGCGCTTAATCTTGCATACTTGATGAAGTTAGGCTGGGCTTTCTTGAATAAATCAGATGACCTGTGGATTCGTGTGATGCAAGGGAAATATTTTAAGCTGAATGATAATGGGGACATGGTCATGAAGAAGAGCAATTTCTCGAGACTGTGGAAGGGAATTGTGGAGACCTGGCCAATTGTTAAAGAACGTGTTGTGTGGGATATCCGAGCGGGTCGTAATATCCACTTTTGGACTGACCCATGGCTGGCGGAGGGCATTATCTTGCGGGATCATACTACCAATGGAGAGGAGGGTATCAATTGGCATGCTTCAGTGGCAGACATGACCACTAATCAAGGTGAGTGGAATTGGGAGAAAATCAAACCTTATTTGACACAACACTTAATTTCTCTGGTTGCAGGTACGGATCCTCCGATCGCCGACTCCGGTGAAGATATCACGACATGGGGAATGGAGCCTGACGGCAAATTCAAGCTTCGTTCTGCATATATTGCGGCTGCCGACTGGATTGGTGATACTGAGCTCAGCGCAGAGGATGAAACTCCTCAACCACACTGGAAGCGACTGTGGAAATGGACGGGACCGAACCGCATTAAGCATTTCTTATGGCTGGTTTTCCATGACAGGCTGATGACGAACGCAGAACGGGAAAGAAGGAAGCTGACGAATGACGATACCTGCAGCTTGTGCAAAAGCGGGCCAGAAACTACCGAGCATATCTTGCGACTCTGTCCCAGCTCACAACAGGTATGGCGTAGGTTGGGAATAAATGACACTCTACTAACCTGCGGCCTTGGTTTTACAGCCTGGCTAGAGTCACATCTCGGGAATGAGAAGGAGGGACTCCTCTTCGGTGTGGCGGCTTGGTATCTCTGGAAGCGGCGTAACGAGAAGACCTTCCACAACCTTTCTCAAGAGGATCACGTTCTGGCGCATCGGATCGGATGCTGGACCAATACCATACGGAATGCTCACCTGAATGATGAGGCATCACAGGAGCAGCCCAGTACGAAGACAACCAAACAGCTTGCTTGGAACCCGCCCCCGGTGGATTGGATGAGCATTCACACTGACGGCTCGGTCAAGCAACCAGGATCACTTGCAGCGGCGGGAGGGTTGATTCGAGACTGGACTGGACGTTGTGTCGAAGCTTTTGTGGAAAATCTGGGTGTGTGCACTATCACTAGAGCAGAGATCATGGCGGCAATTCGTGGATTGCAGGTGGCGTGGAGGAAGGGATTTCGCAAGGTCCAACTCAATTTGGACTCTACCACCGCTATCAGTGTCCTCACCTCCTCTGATCAAACAGAACAAAGATATTTCAATCTGGTTCAACAGTTCAAGGGGCTTCTTCATCAAAACTGGGAAGTTAGAATTTCCCACACTTACAGAGAATGCAACAAGCCTGCGGATTATTTGGCCAGTAGGGGCCACCTTGTAAGCATAGGTTTCCATGATTTCAGGGTCAATGATCCGGGTTTAGCTTTCTGGCTTCTGTATGACACCATGGGCATTGCCCAAACCCGTTTAATTTAAGTAGCAGGCAGGGGCGCCCTTTTAGCGTCCCATCTTTTTACCAAAAAAAAAAAATATTGAAAATTGAACTCATTTTGTAGAGCACGATGAACTCGTTCCACCTGTGCAAAAAAAATTAAAATCCGAGTTAAATACGAAAAAGATATGAGCCGATTAAGAAAGTTAGGGAAAATAAAAATGGTCTTTAATTCTCCATCCTTAGTTCTGGATTTTCTAAATGAAGGGTTCAGATTTTGTTATTGATGGGTGCATAACCATGGGTTATGCACCCATCAAGAACCAAATCTGGACTCTTTATTTAGAAAATTCAGATTTAAGGAAGGAGAATTAAAGACCATTTTTATTTTTTCTAGCTTTCTTAATTGACTCATATATTTTTCGTTTTAACTCGGATTTTAATTTTTTGCACAGATGGAACGACTTCATCGTGCTCTACAAAATGGGATCAATTTTCAATATTTTTTGAGAAAAAAAATTCGGGCCTCTCGGTACCAACTGCATACCATATGGTATCTTCTTCGTTTTTAATTCGTTTTCGAAAACGTTTGCACAGAAGGGACGAGTTCATCATGATCTATTGGATCTACAAATTTCTGGGTGAACAAATTACAGGATCAAAAAATACCACACAATACCATACAATGCTAAAAGTCGTAAATGACAATTAATATACTTCTACTATCATGTATTCAACCATCCTACAGCCTTGGTTTGTTCATACCACCATGGTACGTTTTTCAAACCATAGGTATGCTTTTATTTCAATACCAGTCAATACCATATGGTATAGACTAGTAAAAAATGGCTCAATTTTTTTTTGTTCGAAAAATATATTAAAGTGGATATCATTTTGAAGAGCACAATTAATCTGATCTAACTATGCAAAAAAAATTAAATTTTGACTTAAAATGAGTGAGAAATCGTCCGTCAAAGATTAAAGAGGGGAAAATTAAAGGCTTTCCAGGAGAGAGAGGATGCTAATGTTATGCTGATGTGGACGAGTTACTCATGGTTACTCAGCGTAAGGTTCATTCCCACAAAAATGGAGCTACAGGTGTGAATTGCGGTGGAGTATTTTAGTCATTCGCTACCTTTTAATTGGAAGGCCACACGCTACGTTTTTGTGGCTTATTTTTTTTTCCATCTCTTTGATTTTTAGGTCCCTTTTAATTTAATTCCCGATCCTTTTATTCACGCTCAACGTCTTTTATGCGGTCCCTTTTAGTTTTAATTTTCAGCTCTTCCATCCCACATTTTGCCAACATTTTAATTCATTATCTCCCACTCTCCTAAACACCACATTTTCTAACTTGCATGATATATGCCAAATGCTAGCGTACACCTAGCATACGCTATATATACGTCTGTGTTTTTACCTTTTATTTGTACTTTGATAATTTAAATAAGAATCGTTGATTTTCATTTTAAGATTATATGAATCTTATGGTTTGGGTTAGACATGGGATATAACTCATTAGAAGTTAGGGTATAGTAGTATAACCCAAACTCCATTAATTCATGGTCTAAATAACAAAACTCGATGGGCATACGGTAAAGTAAGCGTACGTCTAGTGTATATTACCCGAACCCATGATATATATTTATTTGTTGGACGAATCCCGTTCAAATTTTTTTTGCGAGAGATTAAGATTATGTCGGTATAAAAAGTTTGAACATGGGATCTCCAAACGCACCTCTGATAATTGTAACCAATACATACTCATTATGCTACTAGATTAGGGCTGGCCAGGAGTTTGATTTTCATGTATATGTGTAGTAAACATTGATGTATATTTTTGTATGGTTCATGTTGTTGGGGATTAAAGTAACTATTTAATTTGATAAGTTCTCCATGAATAATATAGGAAAGTATTTAATGTATTTGACTAATGAAGTTCTACACTAACATAAATACATATTTGCAAACAGTCATATCTATATAAAAATGTCTAAGAAGAACAATGACAAGAGTTGTTTTACATCATACATGCTAACATGCATAATCAATCTTCAGTATATGATAATTTTTTATGCATTTTCCATTGACTTTAGTGTTTTCAATGATATAAGAAACAAAGTATATATTTAGAGTGTCCTTAAAAAGAAACAAACTAACTCATATAGTCATGGTTTCATTGACTTTAGTGTATTCAATGATATAATGAAACAAAGCATGCAGATCTCCAGTAGGCAAGTTCAACTAATAGAGCAACACATAAAAGCTAAATCAAACCGAAAAGAAGGCAAAAACTAAAAGCAGCATACCTAATATTTTGGGGAAAATCCACAACAATAAAAGTCATTTTAGCTCTTACTCAAGTTAGAAAGACTTTGATTTAATGGCAAGTAAACAATGATATGTAGTGCTTAAGAGGGAAGATGAGACCTTACATTATTTATTAATATGCATCTTAGTTTCATAAATTTTACATCATTAAAAATTTATGTGTTGAATAGAAACCCATCCAAGTTTGGAGCCTTTGTAAAATGCAAGTTATGAGGCAAATGAGAAGTCTCAAGCATCCACATGGTTGAAAAAATAAATCTATATTATCAAACATAAAATCATATCTTGCATCAGAAAAAGAACAAAAAAGTAGTAATTCGATAATCAATTTAAGAATAAATATGGACACAATATCTAACCAAGAGAAGAGAAAGCGAAAAACATAAATTGTTGTGTATAGCTTCTGCTCACGATATTCAAAGTGAAAAATATTATAAAAATTAGTAACCAATAAAATGGAACGTAAAGGGGAAAATGCATCAATTTGAACCTAAAATGAGAGAAATTAATATCCTCACCATCATATATAATGATATATTATATCCCGGAACATCATAAAAAATCTATCTAAACGATAAAGTATACTAAATTGAATCCAATATAAAAGTAACAATGAAGATAGATATTATATCCACCTAAGAAATAATAAAGTAAGCCATGTTTCTTAGAGACGTCTCTCGATAGAACCACTCTATTATAAAACCCATTTTGTCAAACAATTGTATCATATAAAGTTTTAACTTAAATTTGAAGTGCTTATAATTAGTTATTTCAGCTCATGAATGATTTAATTATATCATTTGGTAAAAGAAATAATTTATAAACTTGAGATTTATTTCGTTTGTTGTAAAATCATTTGAACTAAAGTATGAAAGTGCTTCAGAACTGTTATTTTATTCATTATTATTAAAAATTGCTATTTTTATTATAATGTCTAAGCATGTCAAGGCGAGCTAGGAGATAGAAAAATGCCCAATAATGCCTAACGTGTTGTTTAACCTCAATAATTATAGCAAACTTTGAGACCATCTTATAATTTGGTCACTTTTATTTTGGTATAATTGATTACATCATGAAAGCGATCAATCAAAGAGTCTTTCTTTACGATTTTGATAAGATGTCCCCTACTGCACAATTAGTATGACTAATTGTAATAAGATAATCAAGCCGAATTTTGAAACCAATTCCAAAAAAGAGTAATTATAAAAAAAAAAGTAATGAGAGGAGCTCTCTCCTCTCTCTTCCTTTTCCTCTCGATCGTCGGCCGATGGTTGTCGCGGGTGGTGGTTGCTTTCTTCAAGGCCAGTTTGCGTAACCAGGGGCACTGTTTTCCATCCTCGCCATCCCTGTCTGGGAATGGTCTTCGGGAGACTAGCAATATCGAGCAGATTGTCAACAGGGGGGGAAGGCAGCTCTAAGAATTCGGCGAAACCTTTTCCAATTAGGGCTTCATTTGGGGTGGAAGGGCGTCGAGCAATTTGGCTCCGCCGGAGAAAACGTCTATTCCTTACGGCGTTTACCGAGATGAAATCTGAGGAAATTCGCCCATCCAAGAGATGTCGGATCGGGCCTCGGGTTTAATGGAGATTTCGGCTTCCGAATTCATCTGAATTAGAAGAGGACTCTGAAACATCCTTGCTTGTGGCGGTCAATAGGAAGTCCTCTTGGCCTCCGTTGAAAGGTTCTAGTTCCAATGATCGATGCAGTGGTCGGTTTAATGCTTCTGTGCCCTTAGGGGGGGGGGGGGTCTGCTCTCGCGTCGCCAGAGGTGAAGATCGAGACTAAAATACCCTGTACCAGTATTGAATCAACTCACCATCCTTGTGAAAGTGTTGGTCAGGTTGATCCCCTCGGGGATGGTTCTTGTTGTATATTGAAAGACAGTATCAACTTGCGGTTCATTTCCGCTGTCCCGATCACCAGGGTAGTCGGTTCGGAAGGTTTCGACAGGCGAGAAGGCGCCGACGAAAATCTCTGCCGGATGGGGACGCGTTTGAGTGAGGCGGTTATAGGCGAATCTCAAGGAGATTTTTTAGCAGATTTGGATGAGATAAACGGGTCCAGCCAATCCTGGGAGATCGATTTGATTTTCCCCCCAAATCTCCTAATCCAAAACCAATTCCTTCTCTAACTGTAAATCGGACTCAGGGAGTTTCTCTCCTTTTGGGGAACTGGCACCCGAACGCCTTTAAATTGCCTTCTCCCATCTCTGTAACACTTCGGTGTAAAACACAGCGACGGGGGGATTTTGGAGAAGCTCGAACAGATTTTGACCAGAAGCGGTCTGTGCTCCAAAGCGGCATCAAGGTAATGGTTTCTGCGTCCGATTCCAATCTCCTGTTGTTCATTTGAGGAAATCTCTCCTCTCTGGTTTGGCGATTGATCTTCCTAAGCGGCCGAAATCCAGCTCGAGGGGTTTCCACTCACCCGCTTCGGCGGTTCCCCTCCCCTGCTCGAGCGTTCCCAGGGAGTTGGTGGTGTCGACCACCGTTCAACCCTGTTCGCCGCCGGCCAACGTCTTGACGGTGCCGGTCGCAATTCCGAGGGTGGCTCTGTCTGCTGCTCTGCCCGAGTCGACTCTGCCCAGAGTTTCGGCGATGATGGGCGATGGTGATACAGGCCTGGCTGATCCGCTGGTGGGCCGAAGGGAAGTTAATACAGGCCTGGATGGGCCGGGTTGTAGGCCTGCCAATACCGGCCCACTATCTTTAATGGAGGGGCTAGTGGTGGCCAGCCCATGGTTCTCTTTAACAGGCCCTAGGGCTGTCTTTGATGGCCCATTTTTGTCACTAACAGATGTAGTTGTGACGGGCCTGAGCTCACCTTTTCCCTTGTGTCGTTTTATTAGTCCAACTACGACTTATTGCATTGAACCTAAAAGCTTATGTTCCCCCTTGTGGCAGGTGAATACTATGACGCGTGTAACAGAGGATCAAGTGGTGGAATTCT